GTAGGGAAACAAACAAGAAAATTACTAAATCATTCACACTGACTGTCTCGAAGATGCTGGTTCTCACTGCGAGTCTCATCCAACTGTTGCCTAAGTAGCTTATTCTGCACCTGAAGCTCCAATTTCTCCTCCTTTATCAAAGGATAGTCTGATACTTCTTTCAGTTTTTCTGTCAACAACTGATTCTGTTTATTTACCAACAGAACCTGGGCCTTCACTGACTCCAAATCCAGCTGCAGATAAAGAACAGTTTAGAAGCTTATGAACTGCTGTACTACTTAACAATTACTTTTATTTCACATTTTCTTTTTTTTTTTTTTAATGTACCTCAAATGCACTAATTAGAATACAGCTTCTTTAAATTCATGCTTACAATTACCTCAAGCTCTTTCGTGCGTGACATAGCTTGCTTGAGTTCCTCCTTTTTTGAATTAACAGCAATGGCTTCTTCATGCAAAAGCATAGCTTTCTCTGCAGGGAGGATTACAAATGCTGAATTAAAATGAGTATTACAGTAAAAAAGTGTATCAGCAAAGAACCAGTTTAAGCTGCTAAGCCCAGCATTCAATTTAATTCAAGATATAAAAATGAATGACCACCACACACAAAAAACTCTTTCAAAATTAAGTAAATCACACTGTATGTATATATACATATGCATACATATACTCCTTTAGAATTAAGTAAATCAAATTCATATGCACATGATATATCATTTCTTTCACATGTCCCCAACTTAAAAGTCTAAATATGTTATCTGTCCCAGCTCTCTTCCTCAAGCTCCAATTAAACATCTTGTGCACAACGAATGTAGAAACTGGCAACCATTCAAGGGTATGGTACCAGACTGTACCAGAGTTCAATTAGAGAATGAATGAGTTAGTAGGACTTCAGAAGGAGATGGGAAGCTCAAAAAGCAAAATGCTTTGCCTCTGTTCGAAGCAGCCGCTCACAGTTCCCACTGCATTCTGAACAGCAAGGAGTTGCTGACCTGTCACACGATCCTGCTACATGTTTTCAAAATCTATTCTGATGGCTTTTCTGTCACTTATACCACTGTTACTGAATACCGTGACTGTTTAGTTTTTGATACCTGTTATTAAAAGCTCTAGAGATAAACAGCTACTTTATTAATCTCAGAGAGATGGTTACCTTTATTTTTTTTCTCATCTTCAGTAACTTTATTGGTTCTGGCTATGTATTCTTCTTTTAATTCAAGCTGATATCTAGAAGAAAAAAGAATAATGTATTCCCAAAGTATGTGTGTGAGCACATGCATTTGTGTAAATTCCAGTCTTTCCCAGACTAAACTATAATCACACAATTATTTATTGACAAAATTAGTTATTGCAGAGCCACTGAAATGGCTGGAAAGGGCCCTGCCAATCACCTCGTTCAACCACCTGCTCAAAAAGCAAGACTACCGCCAACTCTAGATCAGGTCAGCTGTGGCTCTTCTTAGCCAACTCTTGAACACCTCAAAGGACATATATTCCACCACCTCCCTGGATGACCTGTGCCAATGTCACACTACCCTCCCAGTAAAATTTTTTTCCCCATGTCCAAGCTGAACCTCTCAAGCCACAATTTACAGCCCCTGCCATATGAACTAGGAGGTCATGTCTGATAGTCCCATAACTATCCTGACAGACCTTTACTAGGCCCTCTCCAGTTTCTTCACAACTTTATGGAATTCAGGAGCCCAAACCTGGGCATGGTATTCCTAGCACAGCCTTCACCAATACCTGAAGGGGATAATAACTTCCCTCAGACTGCTGGCCATGCTGCTGCTAATGTCGCCCACCATGCTGTTTACCTTATTTGCCAGAGCATGCTGCTGGCTCATAGTCAACCTGGCATTCACTATAACTCCCATGTCCTCTTCAGAAACGCAGCTACTCAGTCAATTCCTTTTCCCCATTTATGCTACTTCATAGGGATATTCTACCCTGAGCGCAGAGCTTTGCAGTTCTCCTTGTTAAAATTCCTAAGATTTATGTTGACACAATCCCCAAACTTATCAAAGTCCATCTGAACTGAAACTCTGCCACTTGTTGTGGAAGCCATCCCCCTTAATTAAGCCTCATGTTCTAAGTTGTTGAGGATGCCCTGTGTCAACATCCAGATCACGGATGAAGGTGTTGGACAGTATGGGTCCCAGTACTGGCCCCAAGGGTTCTCGGCTCGTCATCGGCCACCAGCTAGACACTGAGCACTGCCGAGGTACACCACTATTCACAGCCCAGCAGCCATCCAACTTCACCATTCAATTTTACTGGAATCTACGGGAGCTAAGAAAGCTCAGCATTTTGCATGATTGGGACACAGATTATAAATGTTTTCAGATATTGCCATATCCATCCTCCTGCATTTTTGCAAATGGTCCAGACTCAGATCCTTCTCCCAATCATGGCACTTAATGTTTACCATAGAAATAAAAACTATTCCTTTTCTAACAAGCATCAGTATATCTATACAATAAATAGTAGCTCTTTGCTACTTTTCATCAACGACTTCGGCCAAAAGGACATGGATTTTGTCTTTCTGAGCATTTACAGCATGTCTAAGATATTTTGTATGTTGATAAAATAAGCTAAGCAACAGTTCATCCTTAAAATAATTTGCTGCTCTTCATGAACCAAAAGCACTTTACAAGCATTATTTGTAACTAGCTGTTATGGACCAGGTAAAATAAGATATCAAGGTGGGTCAATTAGTTGCATTTCACTGTTCTCTGAAAACACCTTCAAATATACTCAGTTTCAGCTGAGGCACCATTCTTAGCAAAAATCACCCTTTACATCTTTCCTCTGTAATTTAAATAAAGACACACTAACACAGATAATATTTACTGTTCACTGACTTGCAATAAAAAGTAATGATACAACAGTCATTTGGTTTAACTGCCTAACTGGAAGACCAGTTCATGCCATCAAATACATGTGAGTAATAACATGCCGAGAGCACCTGCCTGTGTTGAAGCATCAAGTAACCCTTCAAGTGACCAAAGCACTCCAAGAAAGCACAATAGCAAAGTTAGGATATACCCATTGCAACACCTCAAAAGCCGTCACAGATGATGTCTTTCGCTTTCAAAGAGCATTTCTAAGGAAATTCTTTGAAACCACGTTCAGGAAAATGGTAGTCAATAAGAGAGGGTGATCTATAACACAGAATCCCTCTCCAAAAATGGGGAGGGGTTAAGGTAAGAGCCAGTCTATCTGTACAATGGGCTAGTGTGCCTCTCACCCTTTTTCCAAGAAACGTATAACATCTCTTTAATGCTAATTTCCCTTCCATGCCTTTTCTGCATTCATAAAATGGTCAGCTCTTTTAATTACGGTCAAAGGAAGTCACTAATACTGCTTTCACATCCTCTTGTCTAAACATACAACTAATGTCACATCTCCTTCCCAGATAACAACAGAGAATTAAAACTACAACAATAATATAACTTATAATCAAAAGAGAATTACTTTCTACAGCAAGCTTTTTCTGAACCTGACAGAACATTTTGTCTCACTAGAAAAGAGCTAAGCAATAATGTAAAGAATTAGCCGATTAAAACAAAAACATGAGTGCACATTTTCAAAGTCCTTGCTTTGTTCCACTTTTCAAAAGAAATCCCATAGAATTTATTACTCTGTTTTCATAGGAAGTAGTATGTGTCCTATTAGAGACAAAAGAAAAATTTACTTTAAGAGTTCCGTCTTAAGCTTTTGGTCATATGTCTCCTCTATGTTCTTCACAGCAACCTCCCGACGTCGAAGTGCATCATCAATAGTTTTATTTTTCTCTTCCTGAAGTTTCTGAGTGCTGAAATATCCATAAATATAAAGACATTGACCAGTTATAAAGCCAAATTTTTTTGGTTTTTTTGTTTTTTTTTAGTTGGGTTTTTTTTTTTTAATTACATTTAGAGACATCAAAGGGTAATGTGTTTGCTTGGAATCCTGTAGCAATTTAAAATTATGATCAGAATCTGTCATTGTAATTCATTAAGAACAAGAAGATGTGACACAGACTAAATTGCCCTATTTAAAATCCAGTACCAATCAATTATGCAGCTATCCCAGGTTAACCCTAGCTCAGTTTCCCACACCAGAAAGCCTTCAGAGGAGATAGTGCTGAGCATGCCACTCTATCAGCACCCTCTGCTGGCTTGCTAAAAACAAAAACAAAACTGCATTTTTGTTAGCAGGATGCTCATTCTGCTATAAAAGGCAGACATCAAAGTAATGACATTAAGTAGCATTGCGAACCTGGCCAAAAATGGTTTAGTTATTTTTTTATTTAACCCAAAAAAACTGATCTTATTAAGGACAAGTTAAAAAAAAAAAAAAAAACAAACAGGACTAAAGAAGCAAAATATCATATCCATACTTTATGAGTGTTAGGATTACACATTGTGTTGTTTGGTTTGTTGTCTTTGGTTTTTGTTTGGGTGTTGTTTTGTTTTTGTTTAAGCACTTCAAAGCAAACATCTGGTTCCTTGCCTCCAAAGTGATGCTGCACTGTTTTGGCTGGATGAGGAGCAATACAAAAAACCCAAAACTTCTGTCTGTATTGAGTATCACTGCTAATAGAGACAGTATACAATACTGCTCAAAATGTAAAACACAACTTATGGGATATATAATCTATTTCAACATCATAGAAGCAGCAACAACTTGAAACATGTTTTCCAGAAAAAGGACAGTATCATTTAGCATTGTATATGCCCTTCAGCAACTTACACTTCAAATGCCTCAATTCTTTGCTTCAGTTCTGCCTCTCTGGTCCTTATGACTTCAATATCTTTCAGTAGACTTTGTCTCTGAGCATATACTTCCTTTGCCTCTATCTGAATGAGAAAATATTATCTCTAGTTTTACTTCACACTTTATACAGTACCTACTATTTAACATGTTCAAATTTTTACGGATCTTCTTCAGTAATAGGTTTTACTCCATATAAATATTATTTATATAGTCATAATTTGAAATAACATCCAGAAATTGTTTTTTTATTCCCCTTCTCCTTTTACTCTAAGTAAAAATGTTTTAGATGGCTACCTGTAAACACTTTTCTTCTAAGAAATGCCACTGATTAAAACTTACGTAAAAGGAACAATTTAAAAAAAAAACCAACAGAATAAATACATTTAAACATCTGAATTTTTAATAACCAATAGTTTTGTAGGTTCTTCATAAAAATAAAATTGAAAAAACAAATGCCAAAAGCCCCTGGTAAAACATGATTTAAAAGTGAAACTGAGTCAACCAGCAGTCTTTCAGTTTAACTTGTAGAAATCATTGTAAAAGGAATCCTCCAAGTGATGAACATGCTAATACCAAAAATCACATATCATCTTATTAATAAAAAATAGCTTTTCTTGTTCTTAAGGACACAGGGCATTATTTCTCTCCAAAGAAATAATAAGTGCCTAAGAAGAAAAAAAATATTATTTTGCCCTATGGGTGCTCATATCAAGTTGGGAAGTCATGTGCACTTGATGGTGCTGAAAGACTTAGCTGCTGTTCCTGATGCAAAAAAATAGAGCTGTTTGTCAAGCCATATTTCCTGGGCATAAAGTTATCTTAGTAAAGGGTTAAATGACCTTCTACCTTTATGCAAATATACTTCAACTCAGTAGAGCTGCTGGTCTCTGTTAAAAGAGTCCCCAGGTAAATGAAGCATATACTTTTCAGTGAGTGCAGAAACGGACGTGAGCAACCAAATATCCACACATAATGCTTGATGGATATGCTGATCTAGTCATCCTTTTTTTTTTTTAATTACTGAATTAATTTCTTGCCCACAGAAGAAAACTGATAGCATAAAATAGATGGTTTTCTTGCAAGCTTCTAAGGACATAACCATGAAAGAATTTCATAGGGTAGTGCTAAAACGTTTAATTTTCAGATTGGAAGGAGGTCAATAGTAGAGACCTGTATGATTGCTTTGCTAACCAACATCATGTGGTCTCAGGGAGGGGGAAAAGAAAAAAAAACAACCCCCAAAAAGCCCAAAACCAAAAAAATCCACCACCACAACGACAAAAAAACCCCCACCACAACCGAGCAGAAAGGTGGTTAGCGTTTGTGGATGACTAAATTCTAAATTATTTGGATAGGGGGTGGCTAGGCAAACAGGCAACAGAACAGCAAGCAAAATATTCTTCCAAAAACTGAAAGGTAATAGAGATTGGGAGAAGCAATTTAGAACTAGATACAAACTATTGTGTGCTGCAGTAACTGTTACTGCTCTGGCAAAACACTAAGAGTTAACTGCCTAAAGGAGTAATTCATCAACAAAAAAAAAAAATGTTCAAAGAAACGAAGCAAGATGTTAGCTTATAGTAAAGACAGTAGCTATTAATGACATTCAACATATAAAGACATACAGAAATGGCATATCCATACCATACAGACTATATATTCCATTTCGTTTAGAGTCCTGAACAATTGAAAGAATTTATAGTATAACTAAAAGCTATGTTCTGGAAACAGAAATGTGGAAAGTCATATCAACTTTCTGTTAAAAAAAATCTCAGTGCTCTGAATTCAGCAAAGTTATTTAAACAGATTTAAAAGTATTTATTACATTTAAATCCTTCAATCCTAGCTTGCAGAACAGTTCCTTTTCCAGCCAGCTCTACTTAGGATATTTACCCATACTCATTCTTGCGGTTGCTAAACGCGTTCCCCTATTCATGAGAACAAAAGTAAATTAAAAGTTTTCATTAATAAGCCAAGTAAGATCTGAACGTAAATCTCTCAAAGATAAAAGAACAGTTTAATCATCTCACTGAATCTTTTTGTACTAGATTAAGAAAAAAATATTTGTAACTTTACCTCTTGTTGTTTTTGAAGCCTCTCAATAGCATTCTTTTCACGAGAAATCAAGGCTTCAGACTTTGCTTGATGTGTCCTCTCTAACTCATGACGTAGCTCAGAAATTTCTTTCTGGGTCTGCACTTTCTCCTCCATTTTAATCTTTGCTATTTCAACTTCTTTAAAATGTTCTAGCTTTTGTATAAAGGGGGAAGAGAGGGTTAAGTAGGGCCATCTTCAAATTGAGAAAGACAATCCCCCCCTCAGACAATTCTAAATTTCACTTAGAAATTCCTGTTAGGAAATAGATGATTGTTCAATGAAATTAAATTACCGTGATAGAAGTATCTTAGCAGCACATAGTATTTGCATTTCTCACATAGTTTTCACGCATTTATCTGGCATCCCAAAGCAGATCTTATACAAAACTAATAGCTTCAGACAAAAGCAAAACAGAGGCCTATGAAGAAAAAAAACACTGCAGGAATGATAGTCTGCTTGAGTTAAGCAATGGCCGCACTCTTTAATTCCTCCTCTGACGCTGTCTCTATTCTTGCCTCTTTCCCAAAGAACCACTTTTGACTGGTGATGCAAGAAATGGCAGAAGCAGACCTGTGCTGAATCACTCACAAACAACAGAAATTCATCTGGACACAAAAAAATGTGCCAAACGTAAAAAAAAAAAAGTGGAACATGTAACTCCACATAAAGTGGGTTACAGAAACAGAAGTCCTGACTCACAGACTTCTTAGCACAACTGAAAAAAAAGTAAATGCATACAAACAGGAAAGTATGCATCTTGCAACTGCACAGAAGAATCATAAGGATCATGCCTCCATACAATGTGTGAAGTGCAATACATGTAAGAACAGACAGAGTTATAAAGAATTATAATAAAAACTTGAAAGAAAATGGAAAGCAAGCATACAAGAAAAAAAAGAGAAAAAAATGAGCAAAAGAATAAAAAAAAATAGAAAAACTGAGACGGGAGAAAACAAGGAGGTTAAAGAGAGGGGGAAAAAGCACAGTAGGAATGTCTGATCAAGGAATTCAGGTCTGCAGGCATAAATTTTGTGAAAAATTAAAGAAATGGTGAGACAGTACAGCATCACTTGTACACACATAAATTGGATTAGAAATGTCTTACAATAATTCATGCCACATTGCTAAGGAATCCATGTAAAGTTAATTGAATTTAGAAGTGATTTAGATCTGGTTAAGATTCCAATCTCCTTTGTTGTAACTGCTTTGCTTAAACTGAGACAAACTTAACACACAAATTAACATGTTTTACATACTAAAAAGACCATGCCTGTTGGCGAATGAAGACTAAATGAAAAATGAAGGTAAAACACACTGGCAGTTTTAACTCTCCATCCTTCTACTTGTCTCGCTGAATAAATATGACTAAAATGATTTCCTCAAACAGTTTATATGCAGATGACTGCCTTTAAAAGTGTGTCTAAGAATTCTAACTGATTATCAGATCATCATTTTTACATCCAAATAAACTATTGATCTTGACAGAATTTCATGGAAAAAACATATTTAAATGAACTACAGTTAATTTCAATTTTTCTAGCCAATCAAACTGTTGATCTTGACAGAAATTTATGGAAAAAAACGCATATTTAAGTCAACTGCAGTATATTCTCTCTGCTCCATTTTTCAGACATAAGGATTATCACTGGTTTATATGACAAAAAAAAAAAAAATCCTAATTTTATACCCCAAATGAAGGAAAAGTCTCTCAAAGAGCTGTCTTCAATTATAGGAAGAAAAAAAAAAAAGCCAGAACTCATTCATAATACTGTGTGTTATGATTTTAGTGTTTCTGTGTAATGTTTTGAAATAGTACACAAATTTTCATCAGTATTAAAAATTAACTACCTGTCAAGCTACACAGCAGCAATTTACACCGCTCAGTTGCTATGCATTGTATTGAAATTCAAGCTTCAAAAGCTTAACTAGGAAGGAAAACGAATAGTAAGACTAAGGAGAGTAAACATTTCTCCATAAAACAAAATAATCGAAGAGCAAATAAAATTTACCAAATTAAGACACTCAGAAAAAGTTGTGTTACAAAGGAACATCAGAATAAGCAACTGAACATTCTGTGCACATTTAACAAAAAAGTGGAATGGAAAATATAAACATGCTATATCATCAAATTAACAACTGATATTGGATTAACTTAGCCTTTTGTGTTTGTTGTAACTCACTATTAGATCCTTGCTTTCAATTTACCTTAAGTATTAAAAGTTTGTAACATGCAAAGTCAAAATTAACAAATGTCTCCCTCAAATGCAATGACCAGAGTTATACCTTTTGACACATTTCTGCTTGAAGCTGCTTCTCTATTTCTTTTCTATATTCATGAAGTTTTACTTCTAAAGATTCGTATTTCTGATGCTGGGGATAAGAGTCTGCAAACTGTTCGTCAATCAGTTGAAGCTTCTCAGCTATAAGAAGAGCAACATATCCATCATAATTTATGAACAGCCACCACAGTTATCCTACCAAAGTTCCTGTAGGAACCTGTCTCTCTGTAGGAAGTTCCTTAGTTTACCTAAGTAGCACCGCCATAGAAAGACCTGTGTGGTACAAAAGCAGAAGCAGCACAGAAATGCCATTTATCAGCTCTGTGCCACACACCATATACCTAGGAGGAGGCACTTAGCTGTTTAGGCACTATCCGTGGTATTACATAGTCATTCATCCCCTTTATCATGGATGGACAAGAATTTTCTTTTGCATGCAACTTTTAGGGTTTTTGTATGACTAATAGCATGCATATTATAATTCAAGAACTCCTAATGTTTGCCTAACTTTCACTGAAACACTATCATAGAAAGAGAAGCAAGGCATGCATTTACAATTATATTTTCCAGAACATATTTCAACACATACCATTTACAGTCTAAGATGTTATAGCTTTTAGCTAAATGCTTAAGAAAACATCTGAGTGATAAAAAAAAAGTCATAATGGGACTTTTGCCTTCTTTTAAGAAAGGTTAGAAAACCAATGCACTAGTGATAGGCATGACCTTTACTTATTATTACTTTAGGCTGCATTTGAGTAAGTGATGAATGAATAACATTCATACACTTTATTAACCCATACCATTTACTGATATGAAAGTATCTGGGGAGACTTGTTTGCAGAGGTTGCACTTACCAAGAGATTCTCTGTACAGAGGTACTGAGGTTGTCTGAGTTTCTGTGTCATGAGTTTCCTTACTTAGATGATGCTCTGTAAGTCCGATTAAAATCTGCATAAGAAAACCTACCAAGATCCAATATATTAGTTCTGATTTCATACCAAAACTGAATTTTTGAGCCTATAATTAACGAAGTCATTTTCACTGTACAAGAAAACCTATTCGATTTACAGAAAGAACCAAGTATTTAAGTAAAAATCAATACTAGTAAACTATTAAGATTTTTATTATAAGCATATTCCTGTCCTTTGGCAACTTTTCCTTTCATCCATTTCTCTTTGTCTTTTTGACTTCCAAGGTCACTTGAGAGAGCAGGTTATTACTACTTTAATTATGAGGTCATTAGGCAATAGGGGTTTCTGAAGATCAAGCTACTTTAGGCTGTACAATATAGCCAGGTTTCATCATGCAGACATAAGAATTATTTCTTATGTAAACCAATGGAAAGTCAATTAAATCTTTAACTAGTTTTTGAAGTACATTATGCAAACTAATACACTCTGTTATAAACACAAACCAAAATCTGAGCTTGCCAAAGTTGGCATGAAAAGCTTCCAAATAGCATTATATTTAATATCTGATTACAGATTTTTTTCATATTTCTCATGTTCAAGTAATTTATTTTGTAGGTGAATGTTAACACTTAATCCACACCACAAATAGGAGCTGGATAATCCTGAAATATAATATTCATCATCCTGATGTACTGCAAGTTTCAAAATCTTCCTGAATCCATATTATTCCATACCAACATACGCTCAAGAAGCTTGAATTTCTATTGCTCGCATCTTAATAAAAATGAGGCTGACACAATTATCCTTGTCTGCATCATGTATAAACATCTTGTACCTTTATTTTCCTTTCGAGTTCCCGAAGTCTGTAAGAAATAAAAGATGTTTGAGCCAGTCTATTTCATCACAAATGTAATTTAAGCTTATTTTCAAAATCAAAATAACTTTACCAGTGATCTGTAAAGACTGGATTTTGGATTAATCCTCATTAACTGAAGAAGATCTTGCATAGTCCACAGCTTTGAGGGGAAAAAAAAAAAGATAAGTTAGAAAAGGCTAACTACTTTAAAAACATTTCAAATATGTCATAGGCAGTATTTTACAGTTGTAGAATGTTTTCCATTTGAGAAAGATCTGTTTATTGCCTTGTAAAACCATTGTCAGAGGCCTGCTGTTCTAGTACTACATTTACTTATGTCCATTACCTAAGACATATGGCAGCCAGCATGTAGTTTTATGACCAACTGAAGCTGTGAAAAGAGAGTTTTCTTTCCTCCCCACCCTGGATACATGCTTTTGCTACTTTCCTTGCCTCTTTTCTTGATTTATCATACAAATCAGATGAGCTCCTTAACCCAAATGACAGACTAACTACTCGCCAAGTCAAAAAATTAATTTTCAGTTAGAAACAATTTCACCCTATCACATACTCTTAGAGAAGAAACAAAGAGAGGGCAAGGACTGCCCTTTTCAGCTACAGCTTGTAGTTAGAACAGCTTAAACTGACCATGAACCACACTTTCAGGGAATTGAATGGCCAAACAAGAGGCTCGCTTTAATCAGGATCAGTTCCCCAAGTCCCTCACAAATGGTCATGCCAGACTGCAGCTACAGGTGAGGCAAGTACAAGGTTAAGAGGCTTGTGCTATGTCTTCCCAGAACAGCATCACTTGCTTACTGCCAGTTTGAAGTATTCATGAGAATGGCCTTGAATAGTAGAAGTCTTTTATGGAAATGATCAGGAGCTGTACTTGCATTCGTATTTCACTATCACAAAATGGGATTTTTTTCATTTCTGTTGAAATGTAACACCCCCCAGAAAGCAAAGCTCCTACAAGTCTTAGAAGAGGCAGATTACTGAACTTACCTTCTTCTTCTCCAATCCACTTTCTGGAAAGAAAACAGAAAGTGAATACTCATAGCCACATCTCTGCAGATGATCTGCCACCAAACTGTTGGAAGCTGTGGTCAAAAGTGAACTGTCATCATTTGGAACAGCCTGTGGCTGAAGTTCTCCACTTAAAATTGGGTGCATTAGTTCATGGATTAGCTGGTTTCGGAGCTGTGTCTGATACAGAAAAGACATTATATTCTCAGTTTAGATGTTATTCAATGACAGTTTTTATTTTTCAAAATTCATGGGCAATCTCGTTTTACTTGTACATGTTGTATTACAACCTACATAACAGAAAAGGGCAGACTAGCTCTGGCAAAATTTAGAAGAGTGCTTGGGATACCGTGCCTTTCTTCCAAACACTCTAACAGTGGCTACAGTGATCTTTGACTTTCCCTCAAGATGTATCAAATGTAAGACTGAAAAGAAGTATTGTTCTCAGTCAAGAAGTCACATAAACTCCACTCTAGCACCCTCAGTTTCATTTTTAGATCACTACTTTCCTCTTCTCTGGCTTATGTAAAGCCTGCCTGATATGGCTTCATTTTCAGGGGTACTCAGAAAACTCACTAGTCATCTTCTGAGTCTCATATCAAGAAGCTGCTGATGCAATCGCAAAAGCAGATGGGAAAATAAACGGGAAATTCAATGTCTTTGATATCAATGATTTTGTAGGGAAGCAAAAGGATAGTAATCAAAAAAGCCTACAGGCACTAATAATAATTAAATTGCATTTTTTACTATTTATTTGCATTCTATGAGTTACAATAGAGAAAAAAAGTAACCAAAAATCAGGAAGTCTCCCTCTGGTAGAAGGAAGAAATAATAATTTTCATTATATAGTTATACAAATTGTTTATAGCATACTAAAAGATCAAGACAGAAATAGTGTTTTAAGCTTTCAACAGCAGGCATGCAACAGTGACAAAGTTGATTAAAGAAACAGCGTGTTACCGAAAATGGACAAAATACTACATGCTTACCAAAACTTAAGAAAGCTAGATCATCAGACTAACCTGGTATTTTAGCATGGCTTTCTACAGAAATTAGACAATAGAGAGAAACAAAGACAACAAAAAAAATTGTTTTCCTTATTAATTTCTGAACTTGTCCAGTTTCAACCAACTTTGGCAGAGATGAGGTTGTTTCAAAAACAACTGAGACCAGCAACCCCTTATATGTCTCGTTACAAAGCGCAGGTGGAAAACACAGGCCTAAATCCCTGTCCCTACTATTGGGAAAGGAAGGCAGAAACCAGTTGTTATATGTTGGCCATTCAGCACACCTGTAGCTCCAAATCCACCTTGCCTCTTACCAGCAGAGGCAGTCAGATCTAAGACCACGAGAAAGCTGAGAGTATTCTCATTAGGGGTGTAAGAGTGTTTGTAGGAATCCATTAAAAACCCAACTGTATTAATTCTCCAGCTCAGAAAAGCTACAAAATCTTTAATATGATGTATAATCTTCTAGACAAGGAAAAGAGAAACAGGAAAATTGACTTAAATAACTGATAGTCTGTCAGGTGACATGCTAAGTCAAATACAAGAAAAGGTTCAAGCACTGCAGGCTTGGTATGAAAATCATTAAGGGAGAAACAAGTTGTCCTGAACAGGGAGTTCTTGGCCATAAGCTTATCAGTGGTATTCTTAAAATATAGATCTTGATTTTTTTTTTTTTTAACTGTAATGAATTTGACATAAAAAGCAGGAGCTAAAAACATTTGTTGGTGACATAAAAATGTGTATAGAAGTATACAAAGATCAAGATGTCACTAAAAAATGCAATCAGATATAGTTTAAAGACTAGCAAAAGTGAAACTGCATGAAATACATTTCAGCATTTAAGGCCTGATACCAATTTCTGCTATAACACAAGGGATTTAGTGTTTGGAAAAAGCAAGATGTGGATGTGTCAATGAAACAATGACTAGCACTACAAATGTAACATGCCTCAAAAAGAGATCTATGCAGCCTTCCACAGACTTTCCCACGAAAGTATGGAAGAATGGATACCATTCTAAACTTTGTCTGGAAAGCTCACAACAATCATGATCTACTTCCTTTTAAAAAAGGGGGAAAGACTTCAAAGTGCTGCAGAGGGCTACTGAGATAACCAACAATGAGACTACTGCACCTTGACTTGCTTAGCATTGTAGAACAGAATGCTGAAGAAAAGGTACAACTGCTGCTTATAAATTCATCAAGAGAAGCAAGAGCTACTTAAACTGAAGGATACTTTCAGCGCAACAAAAAAGGCCAGAGCAACCATAAACAAACCCAGGCTACAAATCAGAACAAAGTTTCAGTCCTGAACACAACCATATTCTAAGACATTCTCCTCAATGAGCAGCCAAGGAGAAAACAGCTCACATAATTTTGAAACAGAACTGGAATATTTCAGGAACGGGAATTGGCATAGCACGTTTACTTACAATAGGTAGCAAATTCACTCTGCGACCTAAGAGGTCCTTTCCAAACCTGTATTCTCATTTATTTCTCTCTTCCCTCATCGACTTTTTTCTCAAGCATGAAAATTTTCTAAGACCCGATACAGGCCTTTAACCTTCCTGAAAAAGACTCTAAGACTAAGCCACAATGAAAAGCGCTTCTGTTTGGGAAGAACCTCGTTTCTGGCAAATGAAAGCTGAATACGAGTTAGGCTGTGGCAGAAACAATGCAGCTGAGGAGAGCGGGAAAGGCATTTATTCGGCATGACTTTCACTGCTTTCAATGTTAAGTAGCACAGCGAATCATAGGTAGCACCTGCTGAAAATAAAACACACCTTAAGTGTGTCCAGTACACCTCGGGTCTTAAAAGTCTGATAGAGCCTTTTCCGGAGCTCATCTTGGGACAGCGTCTCCCTTTCAACCGAAGCCATCCTGCCCTACAATACCGGGGAAAAAAAAAAAAAAAAAAAAAAAAAAAAAAAAAAAAAAAAAAAAAAAAAAAAAAA